TTTGTTTGTTTGTGTGTGTGTGTGTGTGTTTTTTATAAGTGTCTGTGTGTGTGTGTTTGTTTATGTGTGTGTTTGTTTATGTGTGTGTTTGTTTGTGTGTGTGTGTGTGTGTGTGTTTGTTTGTGTGTGTGTGTGTGTTTTAAAGGTTTTTAGTTTTAGTTAATGATAATAAACCTGTTACACAATTAAAGGAACACCATTCATCTTACAATTGAAACCAAGAAAGCAATACAATGATATTTACATTATCATTTACACTAACATTCTATTTATTAATTGTGGTTGGTTGGTATGACCAGAAGTAATCTTATTAATAATTTATGTAATTCTATACATAACTGTAAATATCACAATATAGTTAGTTTTATTGAATATTGAACCTCAAAATGATTTATATATTACATAACTGTAGTAAATATACCGGTTTTCCATGATTTTGTCACTTAAATGCTTACAAATGATTATTGATATAATATATAATTGATATAATATTTTTTATTATTATATTATTTTCTGTATTATATATATATATAAAGTTATGCATGCTGAATTGCACTGTAAATGTTTTGATTTGGTGACAGTTATAATGATACTGAGACATGCATCAGCAGTGCTTTTAGTCACCTCAGATGTTTTCAATCTATATTCATAAATTTGCCATTTTCATCTATTATCTCTGAAATGCAGATTAATGGATTATTTCCCCCAGATGCACTAAATGTCATCCATTTTTGAATTGTGGCCTATTATGACGTTTTACGCTGTTTAATGACAGTTCCACACACGAGGGACCATTACAGGATTAAAATACAGACAATGCAGTAATACGCAGTAAATCCTGAAATGTGACTGTGAGAGAACCTTTGGCTTGTGGTATAACGTTTATGTATAAATGATATGTATGTAATTGGAGTAGATGCCTCATATCTAAACGCGTGCTGTGCTGCAGGGTTGTTAATCATAATTTGGTCTGGATGGCTCAGCTGCTCTAGTGCTGTCAATATAGATCCCGAGGCCACACGAGAACACTATTGATCTCACAGACAGACATTTAATAGACTGATTTACAAAAACCAGACAATCACTGCTGCTCAACCAGCAGTGTGTGAGCTGTTCCTGTTGCTCCAAACTATCCAGAACAAACTCCAGAATGAGTTCTTTATTTCGTAGTGAGGAGATGTGTCTCGTGCAGCTGTTTTTTCAAACCGAATCGGCTCACAATTGCATCAGTGAACTTGGGCATCTTGGATTGGTTCAGTTTAAAGATGTGAGTAATCTTTGTACTGCTTGTGTGGTTACAGCTTGTATTTGTGACTGTCTAAAGTGGGCACACAATCTGTGTTGTTAAACTTGAACCAAATTGTAGCTGGAAATGTAATTGAGCATCACTAGGTCATCAGCTGTGTAAATACTCTTTCAGGTTCGATTTTGTAGTTTTTATGTTACGATGGAATATTCATTTGTCAGATTGTCAAATTAACCTTAATAGCATCCATTGATTTTTTTTAAAATGTAGTCTGCTTTTAGCAGCATGCTCACTTTCTAGTGCATATAGTGCAAACTCAGTGTGTCATTCTTCAGTTCATATTGATCTGTAATTGTCACAGAATTTGATTTGGTGAATAATATGCAATAAAGGGATAAATAATTTTCCCAAAAAAGAAAAACTATTTCAAAGGATTATTTTATCATGTGTTATACAAGGAAACAAACAAGAACAAATGTCAGGGCTTCACCTTCATGTTTTGGAAGTTGTTAAAAAGAAGCTAGTTTTCTAGTTGAAGGTTCTTTTTTTTCTGATGATTAAAATGTTTCGCAAGCAACATATGAATCAGTTTTTTCATTATAGATGATATTATGCATATAATGAGTATTTTTGGCCGTCTGAATCTACCTGTGGACAATTACATAAAAAATATTTTTCATTTGATTGAAATAAATGAATATGCAAAGAGGTTGTGCAATATTATTCATACGTAGCATTACCTAAAATCTTCATAAGTACAGGTACAAAATTTATAGTCATAGTAATTTAAAAAATAAATAAATAAATGCACTCTTGATCCAAGCAATCATATTCTATTCAAGAAAACTTAGCAAGATCATCTCCAGCACCAAAACCAGGTCCAACAAAATCTCTGAAGCCGACTTATCCCTGATCGCACAGAAGACCGAAAACACAAGTTCTTCTTACATAGATGGGTTGTATTGGCTCCTCATTGCTCCGTTGGAAACTGCTGTAGTTCTCAACATTAAAGCAGACAAGAAAATATGGATTTTGAAATATGAATTTCACAGAAGCCTGTGAAACAGCCTTTATAACGGTGAACAGCATTCAAGTTTAAAGTCTGTGCAACAGCACATCTTTCCTGATTTCACTCATGCTGGACATTTATGAGACTTTATATTTAGAGAAAACATTTTTAATAAACTGGTGCAGAATTCTTAAAACATTTTTTTTTTTTTTTTACATATGGTTTGCAGATAATCAAAGTACACCATGAAAAATAATAATCAGTGATAACTTGATGGAGGGTTTGAGTTCTGCTACATTCTTGAAACATAAGCAGGCTGTTCTCACACATTACGTACAAACCTTCTGCTAATAATCTTTATGCACTTTTATTTTAGTAACAAATCTTATAGATTTTTTTATAAAAAAAAAACATTTTAGTATTTAAACAGAATGCTAGATTTATCATGAACGATCTGTCCAAATATTTCAGGAATGGTCCCTTACCGAGCCTCCAAGTCAACCTAATTTGAAACTTAAGCCTATTATCACATATTATACGAATAAATAAAAGCATTTTCACAGTGTTTAAAAAACTGAAAAATGCAACCACTCACTATCTCAATGCAATCTAAATGGGTTTCAGATCAATATAGTAGGCCTACTTGTTCAAATCCATAAGGCCTGAAAGTTGTGATGTTGATTATGTTTACTAACAATGAATATCTACTACAGCTGATGAGAAATGCAAAGCAAAAATGAGGGTAAATTTAAGTCTTAGCCTATATTTCACAGACTTCAGGGCCATCTGACCTCAAATGGATGTAAATTATCCAATGGCCCGACTCTTCCATAAGGTACACATGTGCAACATCACATGTAGTGTAATGACAACACTGGCATGCACTGAAATATGAATACTTCAAAACTGAGGTCTTACGAAAACATTGTTCTTTTACACATATCTATTGCTCAGACTGTTGAAGGCAAATCTCGTGGTCCACTATACAAATTAAATTTTTAAAGGACCCCCAAAAAATAATAATTTTGTTTAAATCTGATGATTTACTTACCATCAGGCCATCCAAGATGTAGATGAGTTTGTTTCTTCAACAGAATAGATTTGGTGACATTTAGCATTACATAGCTCACCAATGGATGCTCTGCAGTGAATGGGTGCCGTCAGAATGAAAGTCCAAACAGCTGATAAAAAAATCACAATAATCCACACCACTCCAGTCCATCAATTAATGTCTTGTGAAGTGAAAAGCTGTGTTTGTAAGAATCAAAAATTTTTTTTCAACTTCAAACTGTTGTTTCCGACTGAAATACTAGTACATAATCCATAACAACACTTCCTCCAGTGAAAAAGTCCATCTTTCCTTGAAGGATTTGTTTATTACAAATGATTTGGATTACTTGTGGATTATTGTGATGTTTTTATCAGCTGTTTGGACTCTCATTCTGACGGCACCCATTCACTGCAGAGGATCCATTGGTGAGCAAGTGATGGAATGCTTAATATGTTCCGATGAAGAAACAAACTCATCTATGTTTTGAATGGCCTAAGGGTGAGTAAATTATCAGCAAATTTTCATTTTGGGGTGAACGATTCCTTTCATATACAGCAGTAAAGCGAAGTGAACACAATCCATATTCATTTGAAACTGTCCAAGCAGTGTACTCTATTAAAAAAGTCAGTTTGCAATACTACAAGATCTGCCGAAATTATTTGAGGAAAAAAAAAAAAAACGAAACCAAAACTAATAAGAAAACACTTAACAGACCTGTTTAAAATTCCTGCTAAAATCTCATTCATACAAAATGGCAAAATGACAGTTGCAGAATAACTCCACATTTTTTCCCCATATCCTTCCTGAAACGTACAACACAAAACATAAGTGGAAAAGTAACTTTTTTAAAAAAATACTACATATTGTAACATAAGCTAAATCAAGTACGTGCGCTGTACCTTATTAAATTACACTGCTCATTTGATCTTTGACAAATGAAAAAAAAAAAAAGTAGTCTTCACGGCAGCATTTTGTAAACCATTAAAGATCTATGCAGCACATTTGGCACCTAAACGAATCGTGTAGGGCCAGGATGTCTGACATTTTGGTAACTACAAATGATGATCAGCATTTTGAAAGTTTAAACAATAGCTCACTCAAAAATGAAAATCCAGTCAACTCACCCACAAGTGTTAAGTTTTGGGTGAACTGTTCCTTTAAGACCACACTAATATAATAAAAATGTTTATGTAGGATAACAGCACCACTTTCTGCATTAGACAGTGTCACTATAATAATCATATCCATATTATCAAACATAATAAACATTTAGAGGGAGGAGTGTTTCAGGGTCCCTCTAACCTTCTATATATAGCAAGCGTGATCCGAACTCGAACTGAAAGATAACTGAACGCTGGAGGTGTTGAAGGTGTTTCACGAGGTAAGACTGGCCCATCTGTGTTCATAAATGATGCTGCAGGGATCTGACATTTAGGGTGGGCAGAAATCGGCAAAGTAAGGGTGCTGCAGGGCTTCCTCTGCCGAAATTCGCTGAACTGGATTGCATTTCAGAAGATTCTGCAAAGGGAAAACACAGAAAAATCCAGCTTAAGCACGAAGCATGAAATCATGAACTCATTGGTACCACAATGAAAATACTGTACCTGGAGTAAGTCTCTGCCAGAGCTGCTGAGTTTCGGGACGACGTTCACAAGTGATGTAGTAGCTGGATACATTGGGTACGGCTGTCAAAATAAACAAATGTATATATTTAAATAATTAAAATGGAATGCAGAATAAATGCATCAACATAAAGTAAGGGTTAAGGTAGCAAACTGTTGAGTATTTCTTAGAACAATGCTTATAATAATAATAATATTTGGTTTACTCATACATTCTCACCATATCTTCATATTTTTGTGTGCAAAATCTTATTATCTGCACCGTTCTTGCATTGAAAATCTTTCAGCCAACATTAAGAGGAATGAATGTTATACCTTATAATCTGGAAGTTTATTCATAGTCTGCCACTGTTCTTCTGTCGGTGTTCCCAGCAACGTGCCAAAATGTTAAAGTTAATCAGCTCATACACACATGCAACGCCAGTGTTTCTTTTTCTTTCTTGCTTTTTTTTCGTTGAAGCATTAAAATCACTAAATGGGCATTCATAAAAACTAAAACCGAAATAAAAATAAATTAAACCTACACAATAATATGAACAAATATAATAATAACACTGAAAAAAAAGAACAATACGATTATTCAATTTAAATTGAAAATTAAACTAAACTTAAAAAATGAAGTGAAAATATAAAAATAAAAACTAATTAGAAAACTATGATTTTAGTTTATAATAGTCTGTAACACACACACACACACACACACGTCTGGTCAGCTATCCTTGTGGGGACTCTCCATAGGCATAATTGTTTTTGGTTACACTTTACTTGAAGGGGTGTGCATAAGACTGACATGACATGAATATGAAGGTTTTTTATGCATGTTTATGACGACTGTCATTAAGTGTCATTCGCTCAGTTCTGTAATTTTTAATGCAAAGATGACATTGTTTGAGATGTCTTTGTTATGGGCTATGGTTAGGGGTAAGGGTAGGGGTAGGGTTAGGTCAAATAATGTCATATTTGCATTAAAATGACATAACTGAGTGAATTACACTTAATGACGGTTGTCGTAAACATGCATACAACCTCCTTCATATTCATGACATGTGTCATGTCAGTCTTATGCACAACCCTTCAAGTAAAGTGTTACCTTGTTTTTATACTGTACAAACTGGATTTTCTATTGCCCTACACCAACCCTACCCCTAAACCTACCCCTCACAGGAAACTTTCTGCATTTTTACTTTCTCAAAAAAACTCATTCTGTATGATTTATAAGCTTTTGTACCCATAGGGACCTCAATTTAGGTCCCCACCGTGACACGAGTCCCCATGAGTCTGTGTGTGTTCAGGTTTAAGTCCCCACCAGGATATATAAACCTGTACACACAAGCATATACACACACATACATACATATACACATATACATAAATAATAAATAATGACTACATTATTCATATTTACCATACTTCACTATATCAACAAAATTAAAAAAAAAAATTAACTTCAGGATTCACAGTTCAATCCAAATGTATAAACCCAACAGAAATCTTAAACAGATCAACTGAGTGTAAAGGATATCTAAAGATCCTCTTTAGTTGGTCGTCCACATCATTACCAGGAAATAAGGGCCGTCCTGCATTTGCCAATTCTGAAAAATAGCAACAAAGTAAAAATACTACAAAATTTATTTCATAATCTACAAGAAAAGATTATGCTTTTAAATGAAGCCCTTCCTACCTGCAAATATACACCCTGCAGACCACATGTCAATAGAGGTAGAGTAAAGCTTAGCACCAAACAGCACGTCCGGAGGCCTGTACCATAACGTCACCACCTGAAGACAATCAACATGCAGTGAGGAACAGGGAGACTCGGAAAAAAGACCACGCAGCATCCGAAGCCGTGTCGCTTTACCTCAGCAGAATAACAGCGTACAGGTATTCCAAAAGCTCTGGCCAAGCCGAAGTCAGCTAACTTCAGTTCACCGTTCTGATGACACCAGCAGAAATAAGGAAACAAGCATGTTGAAGTTCTACAAAATCTGTTTTAACAACATAATTCAAATGTTATAGTCATATATAATGCAAACCATACAGGCTATTTTATGACACTTATGAACCATGTAGATGAAAGTCAAATTATTCAATATCAGGCACTTTCGGTCATTTGCTTACTCTGTTGATGAGCAGATTTTGAGGTTTAAGGTCTCGGTGGAGAACATTTCGGCTGTGGCAGAAGGCAAGACCCTTCAATAACTGGTACATAAAAGACTGCAGGGAAAGAATTAAAACTGCATTATCTGATACCTCAAACTGTTAGCAAGAAATGCTCTTCTGATATATTCTTCTCAGGGTTTCATACATATATAAAAAGGTTTCAAAAACAAATCAAACCTTGACAATCTCTGGATCCAAGTCGCCATTACAGCTGTCAAAGTATTTCTTCAAATCCTGTTTGAATGAAAATCACAAACTGATCACATGCATATATTGATCTCTCTAGACTACTTCCAGCTGCAAGATCACTGGAATCAGGGTAAAGAATGACACAGACTCCTACCTGATCACAATACTCGAACACTAATGTCAGCTTCTTATCACTGTGAAGGACGTCATGCAACCTACAAAAACAAGTAGTAGTTGTTAATGCACCATTTCTACTTCATCACAATTTATTTATATCAATAATTGTTTTTTTAAATGCGTATTTAAAGAATAGTCAAAATAACTTGCGACCAACTAAACCTGGCATTAAACAGTTCATATATTAAATAAGGAATACATTTTTAAAACATCCAAGAGAAGGAAAAAAGTACTCATTGCAAGAATCTGAGTGCGATTATTTTAAATAATAATTTTAGCTTTAAAAATGATACAATTAAAAAAATTCCAAGAGAAAAAAAAAAAAAAGTACTTAAGTACTAACAACAAATTAACATTATTTTGTATGTTATAATGCAGCATAAAACAAGTTGCACCATTTCTATTAATAATTATTTTAATATGCTTATTCAAAAATGCTTACAATTGCTCACAACAAACCAAACTGATTTTATATGGTTAAATGTATTAATTCATTCATTATATCACTAATCATTTCAAAATACTTATGCAAAAAATGATTTAATATACTTATATTAAATACGCTATATGTTTTTTAAAAAATTCAAAAGAACCAAAAATACACTAATTGCAATAATCGGAGTGCAATCATTTTAACCCCTTAACTGTCACTCACATTTTTGAAAACAGATGTGAAAGTGCACTATCCAAACTTAAATTTGTATAATTCATGAATGAAAACATTTTGTAACATGATACTGATGTACCATTTTCATGGTAATGCAATGTCTGGTTTTAAAATGGTTTTCAAAGGATGAATTTTGAGATTTTAAGTTTTCAATTGATATATCATTTCTGATGATTTCTAAAGTGTGATCCGAGAAAAACGCAACGAAGAAGACTTTTTGTGACAAAGGTCAGAACTCCTGTTATGATGTAGATTTTTGTCATAAATTAATCTATTACTTTCCTACATCATTTTTAACAAAAAAATTGGGTAAAATATCTATTTAGGAGTCTTAGACCTTTCCAACGATATAAAGTTTGTCACGATTAGATTAGGATTTCATTGTAATTTAGTGAAGTAAACTTAGGCGTCCCACAGAGGGGACGGGTGACAGTTAAAGGGTGCACTTTCGGTCATTTGCTTACTCTGTTGATGAGCAGATTTTGAGGTTTAAGGTCTCGGTGGAGAACATTTCGGCTGTGGCAGAAGGCAAGACCCTTCAATAACTGGTACATAAAAGACTGCAGGGAAAGAATTAAAACTGCATTATCTGATACCTCAAACTGTTAGCAAGAAATGCTCTTCTGATATATTCTTCTCAGGGTTTCATACATATATAAAAAGGTTTCAAAAACAAATCAAACCTTGACAATCTCTGGATCCAAGTCGCCATTACAGCTGTCAAAGTATTTCTTCAAATCCTGTTTGAATGAAAATCACAAACTGATCACATGCATATATTGATCTCTCTAGACTACTTCCAGCTGCAAGATCACTGGAATCAGGGTAAAGAATGACACAGACTCCTACCTGATCACAATACTCGAACACTAATGTCAGCTTCTTATCACTGTGAAGGACGTCATGCAACCTACAAAAACAAGTAGTAGTTGTTAATGCACCATTTCTACTTCATCACAATTTATTTATATCAATAATTGTTTTTTTAAATGCGTATTTAAAGAATAGTCAAAATAACTTGCGACCAACTAAACCTGGCATTAAACAGTTCATATATTAAATAAGGAATACATTTTTAAAACATCCAAGAGAAGGAAAAAAGTACTCATTGCAAGAATCTGAGTGCGATTATTTTAAATAATAATTTTAGCTTTAAAAATGATACAATTAAAAAAATTCCAAAAAAAAAAAAAAAAAAAAAAAGTACTTAAGTACTAACAACAAATTAACATTATTTTGTATGTTATAATGCAGCATAAAACAAGTTGCACCATTTCTATTAATAATTATTTTAATATGCTTATTCAAAAATGCTTACAATTGCTCACAACAAACCAAACTGATTTTATATGGTTAAATGTATTAATTCATTCATTATATCACTAATCATTTCAAAATACTTATGCAAAAAATGATTTAATATACTTATATTAAATACGCTATATGTTTTTTAAAAAATTCAAAAGAACCAAAAATACACTAATTGCAATAATCGGAGTGCAATCATTTTAACCCCTTAACTGTCACTCACATTTTTGAAAACAGATGTGAAAGTGCACTATCCAAACTTAAATTTGTATAATTCATGAATGAAAACATTTTGTAACATGATACTGATGTACCATTTTCATGGTAATGCAATGTCTGGTTTTAAAATGGTTTTCAAAGGATGAATTTTGAGATTTTAAGTTTTCAATTGATATATCATTTCTGATGATTTCTAAAGTGTGATCCGAGAAAAACGCAACGAAGAAGACTTTTTGTGACAAAGGTCAGAACTCCTGTTATGATGTAGATTTTTGTCATAAATTAATCTATTACTTTCCTACATCATTTTTAACAAAAAAATTGGGTAAAATATCTATTTAGGAGTCTTAGACCTTTCCAACGATATAAAGTTTGTCACGATTAGATTAGGATTTCATTGTAATTTAGTGAAGTAAACTTAGGCGTCCCACAGAGGGGACGGGTGACAGTTAAAGGGTTAATTATAATTTTTGAATAAAATAATTCGGAAAAAATAAAGTAAACTAAAAAAATACTATTTAATTAGCAACATTCCTTTTGTATTATGAACAATACTAAATCTGCAATCAATTAAAAAATAAAAACAAACACACCTTACAATGTTTTTATGCTTCAGTTCTTTCAGGAGGCAAATTTCTCGTAATGCTGAACTCGGAACCCCCTGTAGTAGGATTAAACATTAATGCAACGTTTTTCTTTTAGTATGACTCGCCCCACTCGCTCTGAGCTCTCCTACCTCATCGTCATCGTCCAGTCTCACTCGTTTGAGGGCCACAATCTCATGTGTCTCTCTGTTTTTAGCCTTGAAAACGGTCCCATAGGTACCTGGTGACAGAGTACAAAATGCATTAAAGAAACTGAGAATAAAACATAAGACATGGCAGTCTGACTTCAAATCATGAATGAGAAAAATCACAGTAGAAATATCAATTAGAATAACAAATCCTCAAATAGGCGTGGCCTACCTAACAGAAAAAAAGCATAAAATAATTATATTTAGATTCTCAATTGTTTGATTTACTGTTCACTTGATATTGAACTTTCTCTATATACAGTATTTATACAGGTGTATATTACTGTCCAGACCGCTTCCGGTGAATAACATAAACAGCATTGTCACGTGCTACACGTTACTTTTCTCATCGAACTTCGGGATTGACCAATCACAGTCTTTTTTGATTAATGTATCAGCATATTTTACATTTATTAAAGATTCGTGCACGAATTTTCATCTATAATTCAACTACCAATTAAATTAAAATATTTGAATTCGTATAGTTACTGTACAAATCTCGCCAATAAGTTAAAAATCCTCCTGAGATTTGAATGCAGCTCAATGGAGTCTCCATGCGCCCCCTAGAGGAAGACACACTTCACGTCTCATATAAAACAGCTTTAACATGATTTGCAGCTCAATGAGAATCAAAGAAAAGCCTGATAATGCTGCTACAAAGAATGATCGATCAGTTTAACTAGAGATTATCAATGCAGCAGCTCCATTCCTCTGAACAACAGCGATTGCATCATTTAGCAGCTGTTCTGCTTGATCTAAAGCCAGGTGCAGCATCCCACTACGAGCTTGCTAGCTCTATCTTAGACTTTAGACTTAAACATATGCTTACGAAGGCATAATTCACTGACTGTCAGCCGCTGTAAGCTCTATTATAAACGGCAAACATTCATGATTGTGAATACTCTACAAATCTCCAAAGCAGACAGAGCCAGTCAGGCCAGACAATCCGTTTACTCACCCTCTCCTATCTTCTCCAACTTCTCATACTTTTGCATGGTTTTAGCCAGTTACAGTAGCTTTTAAATAAAGCGTCCTGGCTCCTTATTTTTTTTCACACGTGTTAAAAAAATGTTTTAATTGTACAGCTGATTACTGTCGTTTTCATCAACAAGGGGCGTAGTACGCAACATGAAGAGAGCAATAACGGCTTCAAGATGGCGATTTACTGAGAGACACTTCAAAATAAAAGCATCGTTGTAAATGGATTTCTGGGTCGATAAAAATGCAATAATAATAAAAAAAAAACATTTCAATAAAATCTAACATAATGCAAAACATTTAAATTAAATAAAACACAATGGTATTGATATAATATATATATATATATTATATAAAATAAAATACATTTTGCTTTATTGAAACTAAACCTTTTCATTTAAAAAGGAAAACGATTCAAATACAGTATTTAAAACAGTTTGGTTACCTTAATAATAATAATAAACGTTTCAATAAAATCGAAATAAAACACTTTAGTTTAATTATATAATTCATTACACATTTATATTAAATATAAACAAACACACAAAGAAAAAATTAACAAATAATGCAGGAAGAAAATATTTCATTTTATTATACCTCATTTTTCATGGAAGACAGAGTATCAACACAATGGTATTGATATATAATAATATTTCAAAATAAAATGTACAGCTTGCTTTATTGAAACCTTTTCATTTAAAAACTAAACGAAAAAAAGATTTAAAATAATTTCAGTCTAGAGTTTGTAAATGAAACCGTATTTAAAAACAGTTTGGTTACCATTACACAACACTGACATTTGTCTATTTTATGATACATACAACTCAAAACAGAGAATATTCACTAAAACTAATTTCTATGACAGAGCACCAAATGAAATTGTCTTTGAAAAGATCCTTTAAAATAACGTTGAGTTTGGTGAAATATGCGCAGTAGTACAGGATCTTATTTGTGACCATCGGATCGTTGTCTCTTTATGAGTTCAGCATACAGCCCTCCTTTGCTCAGTAAACCCAAGTGTGTTCCAGCCTTTGAAAACATCAATAATAGCATTAAACATCAAAGTGTTCACACATTCAGTCTGCAATTTGTAAAGTCCTTCCTAACCTCGATGATACGTCCATTGCTCATGACACAGATGAGATCGGCTCCCTGTATGGTGCTGAGACGGTGAGCGATAATCAGAACGGTGCGTCCCGTTGTGGCTCGGTCCAACGCCTCCTGAACCACACGCTCAGACTCCGCGTCTAACGCACTGGTGGCCTCATCCAGGATCAAGACGCTGGGGTTTTTGATGAGGGCTCGAGCGATCGCGATTCGCTGCTTTTGGCCCCCAGACAGAGTCACTCCACGCTCACCTGAAAGACAATTTTACAGAAAAATATGAAAATGAATTTATTCTATTTTAGAATTTATTTTATTTCAGAAAATTCATTTTATTTAAGAAAAAATATTTTATTTAATCATTTATTTTCTGATTTGACTTAACAGCACTTACCAACCACGGTGTTGTATCCATCTGGGAATCCTGTGATGAAATTATGAGCATTGGCTTGTTTGGCCGCAGCCATGACCTCAGCGTTTGTGGCACTGGGCTTTCCAAACCTGATATTCTCCATCACAGAGGTACCAAAAAGAACAGGTTCCTGGAATAATGACAAAACAGAACTGTAAGATCTATTTCACACATATATAACACAAGAGAAAGCTGAAATGTGAATAGTGAGAATAAAATGTACCTGACTAATGAACCCAATGACATGACCTCTTAACCAGGATGGGTCCAGTGTTCTGATGTCCAGCCCATCCAGCATGACCACTCCACTGTTGGGTTCATAAAACCGCTCCAATAAGGCAGCCACTGTGGATTTGCCTGAATATATAGGTAAATAAATTACTAATACATTAATAATAATAATAAATGTATTCACATGTAATGGTTGTGATCTTTGTATGTTGTGTTTCTGTGCAATTCTGTGTAGTTGATAGATAGATAGATAGATAGACAGACAGACAGACA